TTTTTGTAATTTCTGCAAATAAAAAAATTGTTAAATAATTGGCTGGCTCATATTTAGAGATTCACAAACATTGAATCAAGGGAAAACCCGGGGATATATACTAACGTTATATATAGGTCCCTGATGGAAACATATGGCATGTGTATGGCTACAACTTGTAACTTAAGAAATTCCATGCTTGCATTTTATTTTTAATTGTATTACCCTTTCTGCACAATATTAATGAAATAGAATTCATTCAAATATCCATCCCCCTTTTTTTTTATTATATATTGATAATTTTGAAATCTAAAATCGTTTTAAAGCCGTATTTCTTATGTCGGATAATTACCTTAATAATTATATATTTATAATTCAAAAATAATAAATAAGTCTAAACATGTATTTGGTTCCAGAAATATCCATCCCCCTTTTTTTATCATTTGAAAATTTCGTTGAAATCTAAGATCAGTATTAAGCCGTATTTGTTTTGAAAAATGGATTCTTAAATATTTTGAACTATTTTGAGTTAAGAATCGTGCGTTTGCGTTAGCAATCGTGTAAGATCGTGTAACGTGTAGAATGTTGCGTGAGGGATCATTAGTGTAACATTTTTATTCTTGCGTTAATCGTGCGGAATCGTTCGTGTAACGTGATGTTTGTGTAAGTTGTCAACAATTATGTTGCAGCCATTGTATATTTTTCAATGGAAAATACACTTATTTGGTGTAGATATGGTTTTCAAATAAAAAATAATAGATCGGGCTTACCAATACAGTTCTTTAATGTTTTCAAGAATTGAAAAAAAAATAAATTAATTAATCAAAAAGCAAAATGATACTAAGAAATTTTCAAAACATTAAAAATACAAAGGCATTATATACCAGGTATATTAAAGATTATACAGTGATCTTGGTCTTACCGGAATTTTTAAGTGCAATGATTTGAGGGGCCCCTTTTTTTAGAGACACCAACTTCACACTGATCTTGAATGTTTGACATTTTGGTTTTGGGTTTTGAACCCTGAGTGAATCCTACACTACCCAAATGAGATTTTTTCTGGATTTATTAACATTATCATCATCATCTTATTTCTAATGGAGTATATAGATAGATCCAGTTGACTCTGGCTACTCGCAGCTAATGGAATATTTTGGGTGTTATTTATTAACTGACCTTTATTTTGAAGTTTCACTTTAAAGTAAATTATAGACTATAAATGTGTAAAATAAATTGTAAATGCAATTACAAAAAAAAATACATTAAATTAAAGTGCTATTTAAATATCAGTGCATTCAATATGAAATTGTCTTTCAGTAATGAGACAAAGAGGACGTTTCGCCGGATTTTCCCTTTATATCTCCTACACACCTCACAAAGAGAACGGCCATCTTTGTTACAGGAACACACTTCCATTGCCTCCCTTGGAGTTTAATACAACGTGTATTGGATATGGTCGTTACGTCATCTATTACAATGAAAGACTGGACGGAGTTACCTACCCTGAAGGATACCAGTTAAACATATACACACAGTTATGTGAAGTCGAAGTAAAAGGTTTTAATTTACCACTTGTTTTTGTTTTTTTTAAGTTATCAAACCATTTAAGAGGTGAAAAAAAACCCATTCCATCGCCTTACGTGGATATATAGGAACATAATCGCGAGTTTCAAGATTGTAACTCTCCTGATGAGGCGCAAAAATATCCATTTCAGACGGAGGTGGGACAGTTTGTTTCTGTATACAAGCGTGCATAAATAAATGAACGATGTTTATGGCTTTAAAATTTATCTAATGTTATAGAAAGATAAATATTTAAGCAGTGATGCATTTTATGATTTTATCCAGCTCAACTGTGTATATTTATAAATCTACTTTCAATTATGGGTACTTATTGAAAACGAAATAAACGTCGTGGTCTCTATAAAAGTAAAAGATTTTCTTGATTGTACAAACATTCGCTAAAAAGTTGGTTTTTTGAAGTTATACATGTAATAAGGAAAAAATTAATGTGTAAATTAGATTGCCGACATATAATGACCAGATTCATGTTTACCGTATTTATTAGAGGTCCATATATCTTTCCATCGTTAAAATTCGCATCCACTTAATTTTCTTTTTTGTTCCGATTTTTTTTTTGCTTTAAAAATGACACCTTTACTGTAATTCGGTTATTCTCGAGTTGAACGTGCATCCCTTTCAATTATATAGTGCCGATAAACCAGTATATCGATGATGCGATATATCCAATAATAAATATCTGTCCCACCTATTTGTTTACGCGGCAACCAAACTCCCCTCCTCAACGAAAGAGCGCACCAAGGGAGATAATCTCAAAACTTGCGTATTGTATGCTGCAAGACGCTATCATATTTGTAACAGCAGAAAATAATCAAAATTAAAACAAATACAAGCTCCATATAAACAGGGTATATTTACTGAATTTTACATTTCTTACATTAATAATGAAGTGTCAAGAAATTGTCTTTAAAGAAAGGTCACAAAGAAGGAAATTTTATAAAATATCTTGATTTTAATCACTGCTTTTTGAATTGTATAAGAAGACTGATAAGAAAACGCTGTGTTATGGCGTAAGTACATTTGATAAGCACATTTAAGAAATGTATTTTATTTTTGAAGATTCGTGAGAACATGGACTACGACGCTTCACGCAGGCATATTTCATAAGCGTCACTTCATGATAAAAATTTCCGCAAGAGGTGTAGTTAAAGTTCATGGATCTTCAAAAATAAAATTCATTTGTTATATTTACTTTATTTTCCGATAGTTGCCACAAAATTTTGCCATTCAACTGTCATTTTAAAAGCAAAACAGTTCGCACTATAGTTTTTCACGTCAAGTACGGCATTATGACGTAACAATGGATATATTCATGCTCATCCATGGAAGTTTATGAGAAATTGAACAAATTTCTAATTTGAAAGGGATGTTAAAAGGAAATGTAAATATTATAACTTGAATGAAATTAAAATTTTTTTTTCTTTAAAAAAATTATAAAACCAAAATGTACAAAATGGAGAATCAATTACGTACAAAGTAAAATTTGCTTTCTGATAATGTTAGCTTTTTCCATTTTTTCAACAAACAAAACTGTTTAATAACCTCTTTTTCCAGGATGTCCAAGGCAGGAGTTATGGGATTAATTGTAATTTACCTTCCCCCGGGGAATTTTAAGAAAAGAGATGTAATATTGTGGATGGGAAAGTTTTGGGATGTTTTTGGATGGGCGGGGACATGTGTAAAATTAAATCATTTGATGTATTGATATCTGATTATTTTTTTTGTTTTTTTTTTTTATAAAATTGAAATTTATCAAATGATAATTCTAACATTTACATTTGATTTCTATTTTCGTTCCTTCCAAAGAATGTCCGTGGGGATGGTAGGCCCTTCGGGAAAGACAGTTGTGCAGGACATTGCAGAGGGAACCAACCCTGTAATCACGTGACTGGTCAATGTGAAGCTGGTTGTGCAAATGGATGGATGGGGAAGTTATGCGATGAACGTAAATATTGATGAAATTTCAGTTTGTTTATTTAAAAACAAATAAGTTGATATAGTCCAGCATTTAAAAGGATAATTTCCAGTTAAGTGTGGGCTTTTATTAGGCCTTGCATCATCGACGTTACCTAATTAGCTTCTGAAATTTACACAGCTTTCGTTCACTATTGAAATATTTTTAGGATAGAAATTAGGCCAATGTCAACTGGTGTAGCAAATAGCAAAAAAAATAAATGTAATATTTTTTCCTTTGATTGAAGTATCAAAGAAAAATCTGGACGGAAAACGTAAAATCTGAAAGAGTCTGTTTCCGACTGTTTAAGATTAGGAAGAATTCCGTCCTCATTAATTTAGGTGTCGTTTTTCTCGATCGTTCGTTTCCCAAGAATTAACACATTAACGACATTTCCCAGCTTTGGTAGCATAAAAACATTTCTTCACAGTTCTATTGTTCATACCAGTTATGTCAAAGACATTCATTTAACATAAGTATGCTGATTTCTTTCATTTTTTTCCCGTAACTGTATTGTTGTCATGCAGACAATTTGGTTTGTTTAGCAAAGGGGGATAATTCAAAAAAAAAAAACGAAAGTAGAAAATAAGTAGGAACGTAACAGACGGGTTTTTTAAAAAATTCAGGAAAATATCTATTAAAGTAAAACTATTTAATTATTCCTTCAAAAAGTAATCTGGAAGCGGGAAATTCCCGTAAAGACAGCAAAAGTAGTTCCGGCTGCTTAGTGCAAGCGAACTCTAGATTTTATTGATGCAGGTATCAAAACAATTTTTACCCAATCAGAATCAAGTATCTTATAGAAAATAAATGATTTAAAGACGTACAACACACTGGGGGAGATAACTCTTGCGATTTCAATTGAACGTTTGACGTGACGTGAAGTTTAACGTCAAAACGACGGTAAAACGATCCCGATGTATATCAATCATGAAAGAAAAACGGGATACGGGGCTTGGCTGTCATTACATGTATGCGTACCATAATCAATAAGTATTTTTTTTTTTATTAACCCGATTAAACTCCGTAAAAAGCAAGACATTAAATACCATCCCTTAATGTTTATTTCATTTCATATGTACAATAAATTGTATTCTTGATCAAAGCGCAGCTTCTTTTTTCATTCTGAAAATTGTATTTTACATTGCCTAAATTCTCATTATGTACAATATATTGGCTATATAACTTTCCCCAATAATGGTCTTCATTACAATTTGTGCATACACGATATAAATATTGTTTTTCTTCTTTAATTAATTAAATAAAACAACAATAAATAAACAATAAACTTTTTACAATGTGAAATTGATGTTGTTCTCAGACCCTTACCGATCAAAGAGGAACAACTCTGAAAATGTAGGAGATGTTTATTTTCCCCCCCTTTATTGGTTTTCCCAAACCCAGTACTTTTTACAGCAAGCCCTTTGATAAATCCAGAATTGAATACTATAGACCTCATATACACAATGTAAAAAAAAATTTGGGAAAAGAATTTTTTTTTCCTTGTTTAAAAAATTTCTCCTTTTATGAAATATTTATTGCAGCAAATCGTAATTTTTGGCTTTCTGTAACAATTCTTGCATTTCCTCGAATCTAAACAAAAAGGTACCTATAAGATTTTAAAAAAATATTTAATGTGGGATTTCATATAAATTGAAATAGATGAAGAGTTTAATGTTTGATATTTTGAAGTTAATGCGGACGAATACGGGAAATTTTTATTTTAAATTTAGAAGCGACGACATTGAAAGAAATGCGTACAATATCATGAGGGGGGTATGTACTTAATCAAATGCGATTTCTCCCCCGGCCCCATCTTTCTCGTTTGAAATAATGACATGAAAGAAACTACAAAATTTTTCCCCTTTTTATTTACAGGGGGGGTTAATATACACCATTTTTATAATGAATAAAATTAAAGAAATAAAATTAAAAATAACATTTAAGTTCAATAAAACTTAATTGGGATTGGTTTTATGTGATATGGAATGCATAACGCATACGTATATGGACTAAACACTAAAATCTTTCAGTAATTTTTTCCTGATACATATAAAAAGAGTAGTCATTATTTTTCTCATTTAAAATTTTAAAAAAAATCATACCTCCCGGATTTTTAAAAAAATCCCTTATTTGCACTGTAAACAACCCTTTTGTCAAATGCTAAGGGTCTGCGACCAAAAAAGGAAGGGATGGGGGGGGTGGGGTATTCAAAAATTGCCTAAAAATCTACATTTAAATCGCTTTACATATGAGAACTTTTTAAAATTTTTAAGTTAATATATTTTTGAAGCAAAAGCAATATTCCAATTTAATTTTTTTAATGTGTATTTGTAGATTCATAAAACAAAGTTTATCGACCCCCCCTGAAAGACGCGCGGGAACGTGATTTTTAAAAGGGGGAGGGAGTAATTTTCCGCTATTAAATCAAAACTGGTCGAACAAAAATTATACAAAAAATTATGAAGATTATTTTTACTACCAGCAACCTAAAGAAAGTTTTTTACCAAAATTAAACGACAGGTTTTTTCACAAAAAAATTTTTAATTTGAAAAATACGCAATTTTCAAGGCTTAGAAAATTCATAGTTTTTCAGTTTAAGGTCTTTAAAAATTGTTTTGATGATATGTATATCAAAAAGATGACTATATTTTTGTGTTAAATGGTTAAAGGAATAAGCCAATGAAATTTGACATTCATATCTAACCTGGTTTTATTGAAAATCAAGGTTAAAGTAGTTCATTGATTAAAAATGTTTTCTCCTTGTAAACAACTAAAGGGGGGTAACTTTTGGAAGTTCCTGTCCAAAAACCACTCGAACGATTTTGTCAAAAATATGTATATATGCAGTAGATATAGTCATGTACTAAATATACAAAAATAACGAAAATTAAACGACAGGAATTTTTTGGGGTAGGTGTGTTGTACATCCTTAAAAGTTATCACACGGCACAGAGACGGAGCTTTGTCTCCATCGTAGTCAAGAATTTAAAGTTTCTGATATTATTCATTTCTAAACCAATTTATTCGTCATTTGACAGAAGCTAGGTACGTTGCGCCAAAAGCCACGCCTTGACTGAAATCAAAGCTAACCTGAGAACTGTAATAACATAATATGCAACATGTAGTATTAATTTGATTTCGAGTTTTTTTTTTTTTCACTTGTGAAATTTTAAGCAAATCATCCGAGTCCCTTAGTTATTGTATCTATACAACGTCAAATCTTTGTACTTGTAAATCAATAACAAAAATAAACATCAAACAACTTAATGGGATGAAAGTCCAGATGACTTCAGTTTTTCCATCGTCAACTTTTCTTATTTATAAAGTAATATTCCAGGGGTCCGTGTTTTATGTCCTGTAATATTAACATGTATATTTTTTGCAGAGTTTTAAAAGAATGATCTTGTTTTTTTTCTTCTTTTTGACACGTTTCAAAAATTTGTTACAGGTTCTTGAATAAATGTAACATACCGCTTGTTTAAATTAAAAAAAAAGGCCTAAACTTAATTTTTTGTACAGTAAATGTGTTATTGTCCGAACATTTTAGTTTAAGTTTAATTTTTTGCTCACCTAGCCAAGGCTCAAGTGAGCTTTTCTGATCACATTTTGTCCGTCGTCCGTCCGTCCGTCCGTCTGTCTGTCTGTCTGTCTGTCTGTCCGTCTGTCCGTCTGTAAACTTTTCACATTTTCGACTTCTTCTCAAGAACCACTGGGCCAATTTTGACCAAACTTGGCACAAAGCATCCTTGGGTACAGGAAAATTTAAATTCTTAAAATAAAGGGCCAAGTCTCTTCACAAGGGGAGATAATCAAGAAAAGACAAAAATAGGGTGGGGTATTAAAAAAACTTCTTTTCAAGAACCACTGGGCCAGAAAAGCTGAAACTTATGTGGAAGCATTCTGGGGTTTGTGAGTTTTAAATTGAAACATACCCCCCGGGGGGAAAGGGGGGGGCCACAATGGCGAATCAATTTTTACATAGAAATATATAGGAAAAACTTTGAAAATCTTCTTCTCAAGAACAACTGGGCCAGAAAAACTGAAACTTATGTGGAAGCCTCCAGATCAAGAGTAAATACTAAATTCAAAACAAAATAACCCCCGGGGGAAGGGCGGGGGCCCCAATGGCAATCAATTTTTACATAGAAATATATAGGAAAAACTTTGAAAATCTTTTTCTAGAAACCCAAAGGGCCAAAAAAATGAAACTTTGTGGAAGCATCCTGGTATATGTAGATTTTAAAATTTTTAAATCATACCCCCGGGGGAAAGGGGGGGGCCACAATGGCAATCAATTTTAACATGAAATTATAGGAAAAAAATTTTAAAAACTTTTCTCAAGAACCACTGGGCCAGAAAACTGAAACTTATGTGGAAGCATTTGGGTTAGTGTTAGTTCTAATTGTTCAAATCATGACCCCCGGGGGAAGGGCGGGGCCACAATGGCGAATCAATTTTTACATAGAAATATATAGGAAAAATTTTGAAATTTCTTCTCAAAACCACTGGGCCAGAAAAACTGAAACTTATGTGGAAGCATCCTGGTATAGTGTAGATTCTAAATTGTTTAAACCATGACCCCCGGGGAAGGGGGGGGCCACAGTTTGGAATCAAAGTTTTAATGAAATATATAGGAAAAAAATTTGAAAATTTCTTTCAAAAACCAAAGGGCCAGAAAACTGAAACTTATATGGAAACATCCTGGTATATGTAGATTCTAAATTTTCAAATCATGAACCCGGGGGGAAGGGCGGGGCCACAATTTGGAATCAAAGTTTTACATAGAAATATATAGGAAAAATTTTTGAAAATCTTCTTCTCAAGAACCACTGGGCCAGAAAAGCTGAAACTTTTTTGGGAAAGCATCCTGGTATAGTGTAGATTCTAAATTGTTAAAATCATGCCCCCCGGGGGAAGGGCGGGGCCACAATGGGGAATCAAAGTTTTACATAAAATTATATAGGAAAAATCTTTGAAAATATTCTTCTCAAAAACCACT